CAAGGCAAATCCGCCATTATTTGCCAACCGAACCGTCGGTTTTTGATAAGGAAAATGGAAAATTTTAATTACACTTTTATCAATCCGCCACCCGCCATACGGTTTCTATTTTTCTCTCAAACCGTACCGACTCGCACCGCGCACACCCCTAGGAACAGTTGGAAGATAAATATCTACAAAAATCTGACTTTCTGCATCAATAGCCGGCAAGCCATCATTGATGGCCGACACTTAATCGTTGTTGGCCAGCAAGGAACACTCTTGGATGGTAGGGGCCGGCATTGGCCATTCATGGCCGGCACATGGCCAGAAAAGCCCATTTATGGCCAGCATCCTCCACCTCTGGTTGGCCAGAAAAATCTGCTTTTTGGGCCCGACTTCAACCGGACATATCTCCTTCATCTGGACTTCTTTGCAGGTCATTCTTGAGCCTAAATTGAATCCCTTGAAGTATTCTTTCCAATGGTGGCAGTCTCACATCAAAATTCCAAGTGTGCAAAAAGATATGCCTCTTTTAGTGAAGACTGCTTAGTTTCGATCCTACTCGAATTCATGCCGAACTTCTTCTCAGCTAGTTTTCTTCCCTCCTCTCCTCTTTTCTTCAAATCCAAACCCCTAAATAAAGTGTTTTGAAATATTTTTCAGAGATTTCACCTCTCTTTCATTCATTTTCACTTTGTTCTTGCTCGGTTTACCGAAAAGCGTAACATTTAACAAAATGCGAGCGTCGGAACATCGTAGAAACTTCTTTTCAAAAATGTTTTGAAAGAGAGGGTTTTAAGGTCTAAAATCTTTGATCAATATAGTTTTAGTCCAAAAATAGGGTGTAAGGTTGGGATTTGAAGCTCTCCTTGCCAAAGAAATCAATCCTTTTCACTGCACATCTTTCATCACCAAGTAAACAATCAGTAGTGCCCAAGTCTTAAGAGCGGTAAAAAATGGGGTGTCTACAATATGTTGATATGAACTATATTTCCACTATTATGCGATAAGTTATAATTTCTGAAATGCTATTTTGATTATGTGTTAGCTCACTGTTTTTATATATATGTATAGGTGAGCGTTCTTGAGGGCAAGCCTAGAAGGGGTCTTTAGCTGAACCACCGTTTTGAAGCCTACAGAGTTGTTTTGTGTGCCTCTGAGTTGGGGCTAGGCCTGGAAGGCCGTGGTCAAGCTTTCATGATGTATACTTTTGACACGTGCATATGTTTTGTATTAGATATTATTTTATAAGTTATGTATCGATAAGTGGATAAATTAACGTTTATATGTGTATGTGTTTGTTCATATCTGTTCATATAGATGCACAACTCATTGGACCATTGGTAGTTTTGCATATTGCTTCCGCTAGCCCCGATTATTTATGATTTGTACAGGAAGGCCTTTGGTAATTTCGGATTACTGGCCGGTTACGGTGCCAAACTTTTAGGGGCTGGTTTAGGTCGTGACAATTGTGTACAACCTTTTCCACACCATTGAGTGTTATTTTTTTACTTCTTTTCTTGTATAGAACACCATTGGTTACCAAGATGAGTTCAATTTGTTGTCAAATTGGAGTTGGTTTTTTGATTTATTGTAACAAAAGCGCACCATTGAGTGTTTATGTTGGTTGTTGATTTAGATTTTGTTTTTGTTTTTTTTTTTGTTTTCTCCCTATTAGTTAGTGTCGTTTGGTTTTGATCCTAATATTATTTATATCGTGCCTTTAAGCAAGGGTATACACTAATATGTATATATATATATACAATACCAATCTTATGAAGCAAAAAAAGAGACAATATTACATGTGAGAGGTGGTTTTATAATACTCCTTCGCACCAAATAAGTCCTTGAAATATCCTAACTCCGATGACAGAAATAAGAAAATATTTTGGTTGGGAGAATCGGAATTAGCACTCCGATGAACAAGTTAGTCTTTGGATGAGAAGAAATTTTTATTTTATTTTTTTCAGGGTTTAAGTAGTTAAAGCATACATTCTTTCTTGCTATCACCTTCTTTTTATAGAGATCTTTCCTCAGATATTTTTGCCTGTAGTTTATAATCATTGTTATGTCAGGGTCCATCCTCCTACTACACCTCCGAAACGGCTTGGGCCCATATAAAACGAACTATCATGCTGACCTTATTTTATTACTCGGCGCCTAATGCTAATAGGCTATATAAATTTCGTACTCGGCACAAGCCTTGACCTATCTGGGTTAACTCGGCATCGAGCTTCTTGAGCCCAATGGGCCCAAGTTAAATTTGGCCTATCAGTGATGGGCTTGGTTATATATTGTTTGCGGATTAAGCAATTTACGTACTCAGCTCTCACATTATGAATCAACAATTAAATAGAAAATACAAATCTTAAAATGCAAATAACCAAATAATATTTTAGGACAGGTATAATGAGGCATCAATTTTTTATTTTTTTTATAGAAAAGTACAAATAATGCAGCTATGAGAAAAAATATCGAAATTGTGATTGTCTAATGTGATATTGTCACTACAAGAAATTAAGATTTTAAAAATAAAATCACTTTTTGGGGACAAGATATTTTTTTCACCAAAAGTGTTATTATTTTATTTTTAGCGAAAAAATTGGATAAATAGTGATGAATTATTAACTTTTTGAGACCAAATGTTCCGTCTCAAAAAATAAGACCAGGTTATTTTGTCCACAAAAGTGCATTTGTTAGCGACATTTTCAAAATTTTATACTTAAAAGCTCATTTTTTAACTTTTTAAAATGATCTTTTAACAACTGTCATCGCGACAACTGAAATTAGTGCCTAAATATTTTTTGTAACAAAATTTGTACTTTTAGAAATAAAAAAATTTGATTTCTAAAATTCTTATATGTTTTAGTGTGCACAAATTTTGCATTTACTACTTATTTTATTATCTTAGAAATTTGACTTGTGTTTCATCAACTCATTTCATATTATGGTGCAAGTGTTAAAAATCGATAAGGTTTACTATTCTTTTTGGAAATTTGAAGAAGTTTCCACAAAACTTCTTTAAATGGCTCAATCAATTACTCATTGAGAATGGTAAAAAACTACTTAATTTGATTGATTGATAAGCTTTTCTTCTTTTTATTTGATTATAGATATATAGATAGATAAGGAGATTCATATTAGAAATAATAATAAATCTAGACTTAGAGCCATAAGAGTCAATTTCTACTCCACCAGCCCATACTGATAATATAATGTTTTCAGCACTACATAACGTGCACTTTTTTATAACAAGAATTCTATTTTTGTAATATTATTGATATTTTTCATAGCAATAACATCTAATGTTTGCCATTCTCATTAAAATAAAAAAATAAAAATAAAACTAGGACACAGTAGCCTTCAGCTATGACCATTTTGGAAGGTATTCCATTTAGTATATGCTCATCAACAAGATTTGATTATACATCTTAATGTACAAGAGAAAGTGTGTGTCTGTCATATAAAACAACAAAGTTGATATTATCCTATGTTTAGCATGTTGGGAATTGAATGAAATGAGAGTGAGAATAAAACACAAAGTTGAATGAAATGAAATGTTCATTCTTATTTCCCTGTTTGATTGTCAACATTAAATGACAATTCTCAATATTATATTTGGCTATATACATATTAAGTTGGTGGAATGAATGGATTTTTTTATTTTTTATTTTTTTATAATCAAATTAGTAACATGCAAATTAAACACATGTAGATGAATAATGATATAGTGGCTGTGATAGTAGTAGTACGAGTTGTGGTGGTGGTGACGATGACAGTAATACGATGGTGGTGGTAGTGGTGATGGTGGTAAGGTGGTCATTGCGATAATAAGGTGGTGGTTGCAGTGCTATAGTAATTGTGGTGGTGGTAATACTATGGTGGTAAGGGCTATGGCGACGTTGGTTTTGGTAATGCTAATGATAGTGGTGGCCAGCAAAAGGGTAATCTACATATGCATTCAACGATTCAATTATGAAAATGGAACATTTATTCTTTAATGAATAAAAACTTATTTTCATTTTAGTCCATTCCAATAAACAAAACATAGAGTAGACTATTGTGCCATTAAAACTTGAAAAGAAAAAAGAGAAAAAAAAGAAAAGAAAAAGAAGAAGAAACCAACAAAGAAAGATAAACTTGTTTGGCAATACTCAATCTTATTTTCGTTTTCGACCATTAACATTGGCAAAATTGTCAAATTGAATGTTTCTTTTTTTCAGTATAATGGCAACTTAGATACTATCTTTAAGAAAAAAAAGTTAAACTCAATGCATAAGACTCGTTTAGAGTATGATTTAACTGTACGCAAAGGAATGAAAGAATAAATATATTTGCTTTCCTCTCCTTTTTATCTTTGTCTCTCTAATGGACTATTCAAGTCCTTAGTAAAGCATCTTTATTCTCCTTGAGTAGGGGGTCAATTATGAGATGCTTTTTTTCAAGTTACATATTATAGAATATTTCATGGAAAGAGAGATATCAGTAAAAATTTCTTTAGATAATTTTATATACATATAAATATGTAATAACTATGCTGATATGATATGATGATGATGCAAGATTGCATATATATATATATATATATCAATGCCATGCTTTTTAGCTCAGAAAGCAGAGCATTGCAAAATTTGTGGTAGGTAGCGTAAAAATACAACAACAACAACAACATAAAGATTTTTCTCAACATGAGGAATTTTCTGGGCAAGTAAATTTATTCTCAACATAAAGAATTTTCTCTCTTTTTCTTTGCGTGTGTGCGCTCACTTATGTATGCAGATGAGAGTTTGGGGCATAAGAAAATTTTTATTGAATGGTTATATTACTGTTGATCATTACAGTTAATTTTAACACAATTGATAACCCTCCCGAAATTTTTATGCGAACCATTTTGGTATTAGAAATTATGTGCTACACAATTTTACCTTTTATGTTCACACACCAATTAAAGTGTTAACTTTATATAAATAATATTTTAATTTAGCAGAAGATTTTGAGCTCGTTACATAGATTTCTAACTAATTATCAAGCATTTCCAGAACAACAGAAGCCATGTCGGTGAACCAGACCATTTTTTGGTTATAATCAGTTATAGGAGATGTGCGAATTGGAGGCTTCCTGAAACGATTTTCACATTTTGTGCTCATCTTCATTGCATTATTCACCAACTGAATCATGCTGTTGTAATCCTTTTCATATGATAGTCTGTATGCACCCTGTAACTTGCCCAGAGTCACTGTGTAATCAATGAAGCAATTTGCAAGCTGTTCCACCATTATTGGCTCAATTTCCTTCTGGAACAACTCATTCACCACATACTTGTTCACCCTTGCTTGTGCTATAGCTGCGAGGAGAGTGATTATGCCAAGCTCATTCATGTTAGCTTTGTGAGTTCTAGAATGACGATCAAGAGTGGTTTTGCAGAAGTCGTAGTTCATGGTTTGTTAGCAAATTGAATTTATCTGCTTCTCGGATGCCTTAATGATCACTAAAGTCGATGAGGAGTGAAAGAAGAAAGAGAACAACAAGATTGGAAGTAATGCAATTACTGAGGGGAATGGCATTGCCATATCTTTACTTTTTGGGTGTTGATTGAGTTAGACATTGCAAAGAAAAACATATATTGATTTATATCCACAGCACAGCATTCAAGTTTCTAACAAGTCGTTAATGTTGAAATGGATGATGGTTTATGTATATCATGCAATATGTGCTTTTGCTCTTATTGTGCCCCAAACGACACAATTGGAGGCCAAAACTATACTCCTTAAGTTATATCTAGTCTCTATGAACAAAGAGAAAGCTACCGTCACATAATTTTTTTACAAAATGTAGCATTGTTTGCATTAATTATAGATGAAGCCCACAAAATATTTATTTATTTTTTACTTTGTTAGTTTGGTATGTAACTAAATAATATAAAAAAATAAAATTAATATTTTATAAATAGTGAAACCGACCATATTAAAATATTCTAGGTCTACTGAAAAAAAATTAAATTGATTTCAAATCTCAAACATAATTAAGGGCTAAATATTTTTATCTTAAGTAGTTTAAGTTATCGTTTGGCAAGTGAGTTGAATTTAGATTGAGATTAAAAAATACAAAAAAGATAAAATAGATTAAATAAATTAATAAGATAAAATATATTATATTTAAATCATAATTATATTATTTTTTTCTCACAAAAAAAAATTAAAAAGTTCTTCTCAAACAGAGTTTGGTTAAATTAATCAAAAAAATAAATAAATAAAATCAAACAATCAAACTAAAAAAATTTACGTGAGAAATTATGTTATTTAACAGTGTTGAAACAAATAATATTTTATGTAATCAGATTGGTTTTTGTGACTGAGAGGTTCTGACTTTTAAATATCTCACTCACACTACTGTCAAAAAAAAAAAAAAAAAAAAAAAAAAAAAAAAAAAAAAAATCAATTAACGGGCCCGCCTGCACCGGATGGTTCCGTTAGGGTTTGCCCTTCCCTTAAAAAAATTATTAAATATATAGCTGTGTGTATGTATGTATGCATCTTTTCTTTCACTAATTATTCTATTAATATTAATGATAACATTATTAATTTTCCTCATTATATAAATTTTAGATATTAATTTTTTTTTTTAAAATTATATCACATTATTAATTGATAGGTTAATTAATATATAGTATTATTCTAATACTAAATAGGAATTTGCTAAACTCCGAAAAGCATAATAATACCCTACAAGTGTTTTTGTGCTGTGCTGTGCTGTTTTTATGGTGGAGAGAGAAAGCTGTGCATGTGCTATTGGCGTCGCAATTCCCTTCCCACCATCTAATTTGTTTCATTTTTGCGTGCAGTGATCCCTCTCTGCTTCTCTGATCTCTCTCTCTCTCTCTCTCTCTCTTTATATTTTATTTTATTTTATTTTTATTTTTTAAATCTGTGGTAGGTAGGTATGGTAATCTATCTGTTCTGGGTTGATGATCCTTTTTTCAGAATATATTTTGGGTCTGTTTGTTTGGTTTTTGCTAATCGTTTTGTGAGTGAGAAAGAGTCCTGGGAGTTCTCAAAGCCATCAATAGTTTGATATTGTAAACAATTAGTAAGATTGTTAATCATAGCTTGTTTAATTTAATGGATACCCTGAATCCTATGGTCATATCATATGTACATAACATACATCTATGTACCAGTTGCCAATTAAGGTTTCAGATTTCAATTAAGGTTGTTGGTTCTTCTTCAAGATCAACGCCAAGTTGCCAAAAATTCTATAAAAAAATGCAAGTCTTTTTGTTTTTGAGGAAGAGGACACTTTCTCATCACCAAGAATCTGATTTGGTGGGTACAGGAGGAGGCAGCTTCTTTCTTAGACCATTCATGCAAAAATGAAGCGAATTAGTAGTTGGTACGCGCATTACTACCAGCACAACACAACATTCAAAGCAAGCAGAAGCAAGATGTGAGGTGCGTGCCTCTTCATTTTCGTTTTCAAACTTTGGTAAAAAGTTTGCTTTTCATAATATATATATATATATATATATCTTTTTTAACACAGATCTAAAATTTGTTCTTAATGGCTTCATCTTTGTTTCATTTTCAGATCCACTTGTACTTCTCTCTTCTTGTTTTGCCACTTCCATTTACTATCACTCTTATTAAGACTGACTAGCTAGCACATCATAGTTAATCCAACTATGATTCTCTTTCATTTATTTAATTTAATCCCACAAATGTCTTGAGCCTGTTGGGAAATTTTTATTTATTTTAAAATAGTGCTCTATTTTTTTCAGAATCAAAACGTTTATTCTTTGGGTCTTTTAAAAAAGGAAAATTTGATTATTGGATGGTGACGACTCAAAAAGGTGCAACCTTTACTGGCACCCAATGGGAGGAAACAATCCTAATTATTCGTACAATACAAGGGTGTGATATGATATGATTGCCACCTAGGGAAGGGTGTCTTTGATAACCATAAGCTTTTGAAGAGCTGAGTTTTATATACCTATTGGAGGAATGATATGTGCGTTCCTAAAAATATGTATTCACTCCAAAATGACATGTCTATTAAAAGAGACATCTATTCGAAAAAGTTTTAGAAATAGCCCACTCATTTGGTTATATGGAATTATTTGCAATTGATATGAATAGGTCATGTTTCACCTATAAAAAGCGGATTAAACACTTCTTAAATTTTTTTTCTCCCCTTTTCTTTTCTTCCTAATTTCTATTAATCATATAAATATAATTCAATTATGTTGGAAAACTTGTATCTGATATTCTTGCCTGATTGCATCAGGGCATAATGCAGCAAGCTTGGGTCCACATACAGACTGGCCTAACTGGCCTTCATTTGTATTGTGGAGGTAAATTTGCCTTAAACTTTGTGGATACCAATACAGATAAATGGAGGGGCAAATATTGTCCTATGGAAAGTGACCTAGTCCACACCTTGAGGCATTCACTTAAAATCCACTAAGCTCTCTTCTCACCACTTTCTCGACTTTGTTCCAAAGAGAGGTACATGGCATAGTTTAGGAACCGGATATGATTACGCAAAAGAACATGGGAATTAGTCAATTGAGTTTGGAAATTTTGAAACTCGTCATGGTTCCCCATTGAGGTTATTCATTCCTTATGTCAGATTGTGAAGCATAATTGGAACCATTACTGCAATGAAAAACCCCCTCTCCCACAGAAAAGCTAACCATAACTCTGATTGCTTACTTTGAATTTAAAGGATAAGTCAGTGTCCTGAGTATCTTTAGTGGCACTTTCAGCAGAGCTCTGGACTCACCAAGTTTTTTCTAGCTAGGTGTCCAATTTTGTTTTGTACTAAAGGACAACAATTTGCCTCTTCTTTGCAGGATCTTATAGTATGGTTGAACAGTCGTCAAGACTAGAGGTCATAGTGCTAGATGTGCCTGTTGGGCACTATGGTTCCTTTCAATAGGCTGTTTCTGCTCAGCGCTGACACAGTTGTAATATTTTTATGTCTGCTATCTGAGACTCGGTTCTCATACTGGTAATATGACTCAATGATTCATGGATTTTGTGAAGAAAACTAAGTGGGTTGCCCAGTTTATCTCCTGATTATAGGTTCCCGTTCACATGGATCAAATTTGATGGTGAGCGTTGTGAGTCACAGGATATGTGGATTCCTAGCAGCTTTTTTCTCCAATTTTTTTTTTTTTTTTTTTTTTTGGGGTTTTTTTAATTTTTTTTTTTTTTTTTTTTTTTTGAGTCTCTCTCTTTTTGTCTAGTCATGGTTGGATAAATTGTGACCTTATATTTGGTTTTCCCCAACTTGCCAAGTACTTCTAACTTGGCCATCCATGATGAAGAGTCTGCATGTAGTATATATGATAACTTTAACTTGTGTTCTTATTGGTGGATAATAGTGTTTGGTTGGTAGTGCAAGCTGAAGCAGTTCTCTGTTATTAGAGAGAACCAAGATGAAAGCTTTCTTATGAATAAAAATCAGCTTGCTTGTTTTCATTTTTCAGAAAACACTTTTCAGAAAATTCTACTTTCTTATTTTCTGTATTTTTTTATTTTTACTGAATTTTTTTAATATTTTAAGCAATTTTTTTTACTTTTTAGACACACCTAACACAAATACACCTAAAAAGTAAAAAAATTGTAAAAAAAATCTTTTAAAAATTCAATAAATACCAAAAATACAAAAAAAATACAAGAATTCAGTACATTTTTTGTATTCTATGTATTTATTAATTTTTTAAAATATTTTTTCACAAATTTTTTACTTTTTAAATACATCTAACTAAGGTACATCTAAAAAAGTAAAAAAAATGTTTAAAATTGAAAAAATACTCACTAAAAACAAAAGAATACCAAAATCAAAAAATTCAGTTTTTGAAAAACTTTAACCAGAAAATTCAAACCAAACATACTGATTGGTTGTTGACTGCTCAGGAATTGTAGTTACCGTGATGACCTAGAAAGTGGAAGGTTTGTTGATCATGTAGGTGGCCTGGCTGCCACTTGCAAAGGGGCTAGATTTGGAGTGGACTTCAACATGCTGTTCTAGAAGTGGACTCACAATATATATAGGGTAAGACTTGATTAAATAAGATGTCAAATCTGTCAATATTGCCGTCAAGACTGCTGGTGGAGGAAGTGAAACCAGAATGGCATAGAGCCAGTAACAGAGCATTTTCACAGAGTCAGAAAGAAAAGGGACTGGCACTCTCTCACATCAGAAGCTCAAGACAACTGGCACAAAGATCGGGATGCGAGGGTGTTCGTTAAGAATGAAGTTAACATGCGTTTTCATCCCACAACTTGCAATTGTTCTTCAAATTGTTTGGGCACATATGGTCTACTGAAACTGAGTGTGTGACTGACTACTGGTTTCGTATATTTACGCATCCTGCTGTTTATGGGTGGATTACAGTTTGATTGTTTTTGCCAAATCTCGGTGGTTGAATGTCTCTGCAGACTACTTGAGCATGCTTGATATGTTGTTATACAGTTTCAACAATGATTGATGGCTGATTGGGTTGAAAATTTGGCGAGTCTGAGAAGTTGCAAAATACTAGGAGAAGCTATTAATAGTAAATAGATCTTAACTTGTCTACCCAAGAACTTACTTGGAAAAGTAAATGTATGATCCAAATTCAACTCTTATATAATTGAACCCAATACTTAAAATAAAATCTCAATCACACAATGCCTTTTTTATGGATGACTTTTTTCTCATTTGAATCTAAGTACTTGATATTGTTGAGGAACATATCGGTTCCATTCCATACTTCTCATTACATTTTTGTGAATGAAGCACAAACCTCCCACACCCCACCACCAACTACAAACAAACTCGTTACCATTTCATTAGGTACCAAAACACAAACAATCTCACTTGAAAGTGAAACCAATGATCGGATTTGATACATGAATTACAAATCAACAGACAGACAGTCAAACTTAATTTAATAAGAAGAATCGCCATTTTTGGAATTGTTGTTCTTGTTTTTATCACCCCTAAATCCTCCTCGCAACAACTTCTCAACCTCTTCAAATTGAAGACCTTTAGTTTCAGGTACGAGCAAATAAATGGCAATGAGTCCAATGAAGGAGAAGAGGGCAAAGAGGAGGAAAGTGCTGGCGGAACCGAGAGCCTCTGTCAAGCTGAGGAAGGTCTCGCTGACTATGAGATTTGAAACCCAGTTGGAGACTGCGGCGATTCCTCCGCCGATTCCTCTGTATCGCAATGGGTAGATCTCGGAGTTGATGATCCATGGGACTGTACCCATTCCAGGGGAGTAGGAGATGATGTAAGCTCCTAGGAGTATGACTGCTAAGAATCCAAATTTGCTTGGGCAGCCATTGGTGTACCATACTCTGTGCTCTGCTTTACATGCGCTTTTTATGTCGTTGTTATCGACCAAGCATGCTCCTGGGGAATACTGTTTCAAAGCAAATTGTGATTTGGTGCACTTTCTCAAAATGGTGGTGAGAAAGTTCAAAAAAATTTATAAAAAAAAAACTTACTGGGTTAGCACCATTTGAACAGAATCCACATTCCGATTCAGCTCTCAAGCAAGTCATGCAATTCCAAGACGCCGCATCCAAAGCAGTTAGATAGCTCGCACAGGTAGAGTTTCCAAAGGCGGTGGATTCAGCTTTGCTGATCTTTGGAGCGTTGACAGAAGCTTGGTAAAAGACACCGGACAATACCAGAAGGCAAGAAATAATACCGAACATTGATATAATCATCAGCCTCCTTCTTCCATACCTATCCACAAAACACATGCTGACGATGGACCCCACAGCGTTTAGGCCCGATGTGATGAGAGACAGTGCTATGGCGGTCTTGTTGGAAGCAAATCCAGCAAACTGTACGATTGTGGGGCTGTAGTACATGACAGTGTTGATGCCAACGAACTGTTGAGCTACTTGAACGGTGATGCCGGCATAGAGGCCACGTCGGACCACGTCGTCGCTCCATGCTTTCTTCACTTTTCCAAGCATGCTGGTTTCGCCCATGGCGCTTTCCTCGGCCTTTTCTTGTTCAAGTGAGGATTTCAGGGCTTGCATTTCATCTTCAACTTCCTCGGCTGAGTAGATTCTTTCCAATATGGCTCTTGCTTCCTCTACTCTTTCCTGGTTGAGATTAGCACATATATGTATGATATGAGAAGAAAAAGAAAAAGAAAAAAAATTGGCAAGAATATTGGAAGACACAAGAAAGCAAATTTAAATTGTTTTCTATACATTTCGGTAGAGCCATCGCGGAGACTCTGGAAGAGAGATCATTAACACGAATTGCACGATGGCCGGAAGTCCGGCAACACCAAGCATCCAACGCCAGGTTCCAGGTACCTGAAATCAAATTTAGTGAAAAGAGTTGGATAACCCTTTGATTCCCTTCTTAGAAGGAAGAAAATTAAGCAAGCAAAAACACTATGGTAGTTTACATTTTTCACCTACTAATTTTTAATCCTATTTCACCTTACCTCTTACTTTGTAATTGCATATAGCAACAATTGAGTCATCAAAAGTCAATCCCGTTTCAATTTGATTTTTCTGTTTATCCACCATTTAAAATTTGAACAGACAAATTACACTTTTTTACTCTTTAACATCTACCTACTTTACTCCCTCACTTTCTAATACTCTCTCTCTAATACTCTTAAAACATGCTCTCGTAACTACCAATTCGGTGGATGCTCGGATTTTATCATTCGAAGAGAAAGGGGTTCCAAACCTCAATATTTCCTATCTAAAATTTTAAACGGGAGATAAGGGAAGAACTATATTGAAATTTGAAACAAGTTGAAATCAAAACTCAATTGTTGTAATGAAATGGTAGATTGATTTCCATTGTATCAAAAAAAAAAAAAAAAAAGATGGAAAGAAAAGGTAAAAGTGAACAAATATTAAGTGTAACGATAACATCTTATGTAGTTTTACCAGTTAATAGAAAATCATAAATAAGTAGAAACCAAGTTGATATCATTATACCTAATATTTACTTGTCGAAATCAGATAAAGATTGAAGGGTGGAATTTGTGCAAACAACAGAAAAATAAATAAATAAAACCTCAAATTAAAGATATACAGATATGCGTAAACATTACATTACCTTGGTGAAGGCAAGATTGACGAGATAGGACAAGAATTGGCCTCCAGTAATGAGCAAGCCATTGGTGCTAACAAGCGCACCTCTAATCCTAGCAGGTGAAGCCTCTGAAATGTACAAAGGTGAAGTCATGGAAGCCATGCCAACTCCGAAACCTACAAAGATTCTTCCAACAATGATCACCCATGGAGCTGGAGCTATGGCCATAATTGCCGAACCAATAAAGAACAAGATATCCGCTATTATAATTGATTTTTTTCGCCCCAATAAATCATTCAGCCATCCACCAATCGCAGCTCCGACGATAGCGCCAGCCACAACCATGCTCACTATGGTTGACTATTTTATATGTATATATATATATATGCACACATGTTAGTAAGAAAAAAACAAACATATATAGAAGAGTTGTCTTACGTGCACAGATATTTTGTGTACCTATCTTTCTATTTCGTGCACGTTTCTATGCATAATGCAATTAGTAGTAGTAATTTTTTTTACCTGTAGCAGTGTGCTCCTCTCAACACTCTCGAAGTCTTCCTTAATGTAAAGGAGAGCACCAGAAATGACTCCTACATGCCCAAAGGAACAAAAATTCCATTTTTAAGTATAGTAAGAAAGTATTTTCTGAGCACAAAAAAAACTGATACAAAATCTTTGTAGATATATTTTTGAAGTATATGATGTCAATTAATACAAAAATCAATGACAATATAACATTGTATGTTTGCGCATGTTATACCTGTATCGTAGCCGAACAGGAGACCTCCCATGCCGGCAGACAAGGCCAGCCTCATAATGTAGGGAGTCCTCCATGTTGTCTTCCAGCATTCTGTAAACTCTGTCTTATCTGCTTTTGTAACTCCTCCCTCTTCCATTTTTTTTTTCTCTTTAATTTTCCAACTCTTAGATTAAATTTCCAATGGAACTGTCTCCCTGGAAAGGGAAAAAAAAAAAAAAGAAAAAAGAAAATCGCAGAAAGAAATATTAATTAATTGGATATCCAGAACGAAATATTATAAAATTTTCATTTCATACCCAGAAGAACATTCACATTATGCATGGGATCCTCTGTTCCCCAAATCTTTCTATCACTCTATTCCAAAAACATTCACATTTATTGGATCATGTCTTGAGATTATCTCACCTCAAGATTTTCAATAATTTGGTGGTTATGAATATTTTGGGACAGGGGAGAGAGATTTGCAAAGAATTTTCAGCCAAAAAAAAAAGAGTCTGAAAAGTTATCAGTAAACAAGTGCGATGTGAATCACAATACGAATGAATATGATGTCCTTAGATTACCGCACCTTAAGATTTTTAATGATTTGACAGTTAATGAGTGTTTTAGGAGGACAAAAGGATAAAGGAATTTGAAAACAAAGTATCTTGATCAAAACAGTAGCTTGAAAAGTCATCAGAAAACAAAATGTGTGATGCAAATTACGATCAGAATCAATCTGATGATGTACACACTTTATCTTTTGATTATATTTCAAGTTACTTTTTCAGGATCTGCAGCATTACGAGAGATAATCAAAAGAAACTGAAAGAAGAAAAACATACCTCAAGTTTCTTGGTTGTGTTCTTCTCCTTTTCCAGATTGCATTCTCTTATTTAACTAGTTTATTAGTTATGTACAGAAAAGCAATACTTAGATGAAAGGGCCAAAGGGTTAGTGTTATTAGCCTTCCTCTATATGCATATATTGGTTCACAAAGTGTGCTTTTTACTCTATTTTTTGAAGAATTTTTTTTTTTTGAAGTGGGTAAAGAAGTCTGTTGCTAAGTTTCTGGTTCACAGAAACCTATATTTAGTGTGTATATTACTGTCTTTTATTCTTAGAAAATTGCAGTGGGTAGGTAAAATCTGTACAAAGTTTGGATAAAATTATTCCCACAAAAAATGAGCTTTGAATGGCTGAGCAATATTGGTGTCAGGTTTTACCTAACTAAACAATAATTAAATTAAATATTAAAACAAAATGATTATTGCCCAAAATCCGTCAACCCAAAAAGTCAAATTCCTATGTGTTGGCATTTGGTACTAGGTTAGGATTATAGTTGGATAATGATTTACATGGATGGATCATGCCTACGGCTTGACTAATTTTTAGGGTACTTGTGGTTATGGGTTCCAATTACGATTGATTCTTTTTTCTTTTTTCTCCTTTTTCTTTTTTAATAAAAATTAATTCATACTCTAGCCTAGTTTAAGGAAAGAGAATATAGGGATTGAACCCAGTTACTTGAGCCAGAGCATCACACTTCAAAGGGTACAAGTCAATAACCAAATACAATTCATACTCTTGATTCTAAATTTCAAGCCAATAACCACATACACTTTTAAAAAGCTCCATTATGGTACAAATCACCAGGGTCAATTCTATTACCAAGTATATTAGAATTCTCTGCAATAATTATCTTTACACTAATCTTTCAATGGAAGTTTAAGTAAATGGCACCAAAATTCAATTATCCTTGCAATAAATCTCATCATGAAAAATAGATTGATTATAATTTATTTGGTTTGCTTCAAGATGTTAAAGTGGTATTAACCTCTTTAACCAAAGAAGAATTTAACAGAGACATTGAGCTCATAATCTTCTTCATTATGCCGAATTGTATTTCTCTTATCAACTGTTTGATGGTGCTAGAGTATTAAAATAAAAATTGCCCTGTTAAAAGTTAACTTTTCTTCTATGAAGCACCTTTTGTACCAAAAAAAAAAATACGATGTTGATGAGACTGGTTGTAAAGCCAGCCCTTGTTCTTGCTAGGGCTGCTCTAGGTAGAGGTACTGTTCTTCATTATGAGCATGGTGTGGCCTTGGTCAGCGAGGTGAAGGATGCTAACATAGACTTTGATGTGGCACAAAGTATTGAACCCATCAATTAAGAGTAAACACAACATGCAATATCGATTGATCTGCACACAACCAAGAGAGCACAGTGTTCACAACATCCATCCGATATGTTTATATACCCACCTTCGTTCTTTGATCACCCACAACATCCTTTATTCAGAAGTCTCTACATCAATATGGAATGTATAATACAAATGTTTAACAGAATTTACCATCACAAACATTCTCAAACTTGGACAACCCACACGATAGATTGGGCAAATGCAGTCTAATTCAGGAAAAAATAATCAAGAAAAATCCGGAAGCAGGGGTGTGAGGAGCATCTGACCCTAGCATGGTCTCTACCGGACGAAACAATCAGCAAAAATGAAAATAGCATTGCCATTCACTTCATTCGTTCACACAACAGAACACTAACCAGCATCTCCCCCACCCAAGATTACATTCACAACAGTGGCCATGAGCCTCTCATCACTTTGAACCCATGTTTACAAAAGCCAGTTCGAAAGAAACACATTCAACAACCGCACCCACATAAACCATAACACTAGCAATTGCCCAGCGGACAGAAGAGAAATTTTGAGTCAAGCTCTAGGTCAGACTCATAGAGATGAGGGTTCTTCCAATAACCAAAGAAACCCAAATCACCATAACCCCAAAGACATAGGAAAAACATGATCACAAAAATTTGAAACCACCTAAACTAATACTAAGTAAACTCAACAAACCTTTGTATCAATTACTCAAAATACAAAGATCAGTTTCTCCAATTGGTTGTATTAAATAAAAGCCATGGAAGGATATCACGCATAACTCTGTTAAGAAATAAACACTAGTAGGAAAATAGACATTTGATAAAGAGAAGCTTACAATTCCTATAAATCCTTTATTAATGTTCAAGATCAAGCGGCAGGGCCTTTGCATACCCATCAAGCATTAAATAGTATTAGGGTCATTGCAAACAAGTTGAAGTGGGTTAATCACTTGGTAATAAGAGGAGAGAAGGCAGAGCCTTTGCATACCCATCAAGCTTGGAATGACTATTCCATTCCAACTCATTCTAGTGAACCAAATAGAACATAAAGGCTGTTGTATTTGGATCATGATTTGGGTAAAGATTTGGAAAGGGATAAGGAAAAGGTGAGGGATCCAAATCCATGATCCGAACAGACAGCTTAGAGAGAATCAAACTTATCAAACCATAGAAAGTAGAGAAAGAAAATGAATGAAACCATGAGAATCCAAACTACACTTATATATAATTTATTCCACCTACATAACTGAGCTGAGAAGAGAATGATTCTAATAAACCTCAAAACAGAAATAAAAATTTCAAATTGTTGTCAAAAGGATCACAAGCATAGAAAAACAATTCCATAACTCAAAAATCAAATTCAAATTGACGAAAAGAAAATTACTACAGCAAAGCAACGTCGATAGATATCATCAGCAGCAGCAAAAGAAAGCAGAGCCTTTCAGTCAGTCAGTCACCGCCGGCCTTCTGGTAAACGTAGGTGAGGCCACACTTGCCACAGTAGTGACGGTCGAAGTGATTGGCCATGAAGGTTCCAGCACCACACTCGGCGTTGGGGCACTCCTTCCTCAGCCTCTGAACCTTGCCGGCGTCATCGACCTTGTAGAACTGCAAGACTGCGAGCTTCACCTTCTTCTTCTTGTGCTTGATCTTCTTGGGCTTGGTGTAGGTCTTCTTCTTCCGCTTCTTTGCGCCGCCGCGGAGGCGGAGCACCAGGTGGAGGGTGGACTCCTTCTGGATGTTGTAGTCCGCTAGGGTTCGGCCGTCCTCCAGCTGCTTTCCGGCGAAGATGAGGCGTTGCTGGTCCGGAGGTATGCCCTCTTTGTCCTGAATCTTGGCTTTGACATTGTCGATTGTGTCAGAGGACTCGACCTCTAGGGTTATGGTCTTCCCCGTTAGGGTTTTCACGAAGATCTGCATCTTCCAAAGGCAGAAGAAGAAGCTAGTGTTAGGGTTTCCAGAGGTACACGGTACATACAGACATATAGACATGGTAGGGGCCGGGCACGCGATGCATGCCTAAACTCGTTTAAAATTATAATATGATTTTGATATTATTTTTTTAATAATATACATATAAATTATATGAATAATTATGTATAATATAACATTTGATATTAATATATTTGATAAATGAAATATATACACTTTACAATATGTACATGTATTTTAAAAATTAAAATATTTACTAATTTTAACTAAAAAAATTATACAATAAAAATTCATATAAAATCTAAATTTGATAACATGAGACCGGAGATCTTGCAAATCCTGTAAAATATATATATATATATATATAAAAGTTATATTTATTATAAGATTGCTAATAGTATACATTGATTAAAATTATATTTTACGTTATGCGGCATAATTATACGTAAGTTTGGTTTTATAATTGGCTTATTATGTATAAAGACACAAAAGGTAATTATTGCATTAATTTTTTGTAAACAAAATTTAAAAATTAAAAACTTACATATCGACATAGATTGACATCGTTCATATCAAATGTCGCGTTCAATGATCTCTTCAAATTGTTTTGATGCAATTTTTGCCATAGATCTATGACAACATTAAACTATAAAAAATAAGATGGAATTGATCGAAAATGAAGTACGTAACTTTAGTTATACATACAAACCTATAAGTAGATTACCTTGTAACAATGTTGCACATATATTTGTAAGCTTTCAATTTTTGTATCATTCGTTGCCTATAAAACTGAGGAAAAATATCTCACTTCCTTGTAAGTTGATTGTTTGATAAATTTATAAAATCTAAAATTAATTTGTAAATTCACAAATATGAATATATGGAGCGTAGTAGTAAAGTTTATAAGACTTGATCTTTTACCACATATATGTCCATATTGTCTTTGCTGCATATACTTGCTCTATCAGATATGATAGAATTTCTATAAAAAGATTACAACAATTATTAGCAAATGTAACATATTGAAATTATTCATATAAAATGCCACAAACACATTATCATACCGATGTTATCGTTGCCTCAAAAGCTCTCGCACAATTAATTTTTCCAATTGTTTTTTATCAACTTTAATAGAGACCTTCCATCCAAGACTGTATATGGAGAACTGTTTGACCTACATTAATTTAAAAGGTATAGTCAAACTCAAAATATATGCGAATATTGTCAGATTAAATAGCAAAAATTTTACAAACATTATTTTTTGAACATAAGTGAAGCCAATACCTGATTTTTAACTTTCTTATCTGCAACCATATTTGCTTCCTCTTGATAATTCTCCCAAAGCTGAAGTAGCTTTATTTTTTCAAGTATTCCTACAATCAATAATTATATGAAAATATATTATAAGTATATTAATTGTAGATTTTAAGAAATGACATAATATAAGCTGAATAAGAACATATTTAGTACATACCTTATGTATCAATAATTTGGTAACAAAACGTCTTTGTAGACTACATTACGGGTATACACTCCTTCTTCATTATTAACCGAACCCCTTTTAACCAAGACTTTCGTTGTTTAATCTGACACCCCTCGAGATAAAGCAACATATAGTTGCCCATGACTAAATACATGATCCGGAAGGTAAATTCCCACATGTGGAATTGTTTGACCTTGTGATTTATTTATCGTCAAAGCAAAACTAAGGCGAACTGGAAATTGTGTGCGAGTCATTTCAAATGGAAGTTTTAAGTTTTCCGGAGCCTTTAATGGAATGCGATGTAGGAAAACTCTTGTGCCTTCGAAATGTCCTATTAAAATCTCTGAATCTATGAAATTATCGTTCAAAGCTCGACATAGTAGCCTTGTGCCATTGCACAAACCAGAAGAAGGGTCAAGATTCCTCAAAAGCATAATTGGGGCTTCAACTTTCAAATGCAATGCATGTGGGGGCATTCCTCCTAGTGAAATGGAATTTAAAAACTCTTGTTGATACAAATTTTGGGTATCATTTTCAACTTTATCAAATGAGTGGTACACTCTTGATTCTCCTAGAAATCTCTGAATGATTTTCTCATTGAGCTTGTCGACATCTTCATTGCGAGGAGTTATTATGCCCCTACTAACCATATACTTGGCGTCAAAAGAATGGTTTATGATATCAGAATAAATTTCTTCTAATAGTTGAACTATTGATTCTTCGCCATTCCATGGTATTGCCATCGATGTTGGTACTTTGATCATTTCATCTATAATGGTAGGTTGTACACCATTTCCAACAGACAAAAGAAATTCACCAAACTGTTGGTCATTTATAGAGCGCATGTTTTGCTTTAAACGAAGTATTTGAATGTGACTCCAAAGAGGTGATTTGACTATCGATGCAGCAATAGTTTCAGCTTTTGTACCTTTAGGAACAACTGGAAGTACTTGTCGAAAATCACTACCAAACACCATAATTTTGCCACCAAATGGATAATCAACACCAGTGATGTCTATGAGTGTTCGATTCAAGGCTTCAAAAGCATAACGATTTGTCATTGTAGCTTCATCCCAAATGATGACTGTTGCACGTCTAATCAGTTCTGCCAAATCTAATTATTTAGTAATGGAACACACAGATGAAGCCTCTGGATTTAAGGGGATCTTGAATCTTGAATGGGCTGTCCTTCCACCAGGTAAAAGTGTAGCTGCAATTCCAGAAGTTGCTGTTGCAATGGCAATTCTCCCTTGACTTCTCACTGAGGCCAATAGTGCACAATATAAATATGTCTTTCCAATTCCTTCTAGGCCATCCACAAAGAAGATTGCATCAGTATTGCATTCCACAGCCTCCATGATTGAATTGAATGCTAAGTGTTGATCACTATTTAATGTGGCAATAGAATTTAAGTCTTCTCGAGGAGTTACAATGGAAAACTCATCTTGTATGACCTTTGGAACTGTTGAATTATCATCCAAATTCATTGTCATCTCAGGCAAATCGTATTCTGATATGTTCTTATTATGCTGTAGCAGGAGACGGTTTATATCTTGCAGGGTTTTGTTAAGGATATACATATTATTCATACTGTTTGAAGATATGTAATCTTCAATCAAGTAAGGGTAAATTTCATCCCACAAACTTCACACCCCTGTTGGCACACAATAAACCAAAATTGTAACGAACAATCTCCTTAAAGTTGATGGCATGTGCATGGTTGCAGCTTCTAACAAACATTGTCGTATGCTATCATCATGCTCTAACAAAGCATGATGTTCAACTGCTTGTTTAAAAGTTGGGTACGCAATTCCATTAACCATTAACAAATGATCGAATGATTTTGGTCCTCGGATATGATTGAGTAAAATTCTCAAGTAAAATCTCTCCCCTTCTGATGGCGAAACTGTATAAATTCTCCCAATTACTCTTTGATGGTTCAATCTCAACTGCCAAATCTTTGCGCTATTGCACCATCTATAGTGTTGCGGTATCTCTCGATATAAGTATCGATTTGCAGTTTCATCATCAACATTTAATTGAAAGAATTGGGTAAGCATTGTTCTGGAATAATACTCATCGCCTAAAACATTTGTGATGTCTTGGAACGTATAAAACCTTACTTGCTGCTTATTTGGTAAGTGTATTTGGAGGTGTTCTACGCTAGGAGTCATTTTGGTCATTGAGAATTTGAATATTTTCCACAATGCTTCTGGAGCACAAACCCATTTTCCATCTATGAACTGTTGTACTTCGTCATAATTAGGACCTTGACAAACTTCTAATGCAACACGGTCAGGCCCTTTATAAACATATTTGTATAAATACTTCACACTTGTAACACTACTGCAAATTTCAAGATTGATATGACAATCATATTTCAAGAGCAACCATGGGTTGTATGGAATGACCCAACTATTATCCACCAAGATGCTTGGATTACTCTCTACAAGAACTGACTCCCCTTCTCTTCTTCGATAAATAGGATATGAATTGTTTCCAAGTGTAGTAATTGAAGAAAATGGCTTTGGGAAACGTCTTTTGCACCGACCATTTGTCATACACGGGGACCGTTCATTGTACATTCCACATGGGCCATGTATCATGTGTTTCAAAACTGCACTGTATAATGTAGGCTCTAATCTCTTATCTGGAATTTCAGCTCTGACAATGTTATCATAATCATTAGGAGTGCGTAACTTATCATTTTCATCCAAAATAATGACCATGTGGGCATGTGGTAAGCCTCTTTTCTGGTACTCAATAACATATGCATATGCCAGAACCTTCCCAAGTACATGTTTTGTAAGAATGTCGGTCTTCATCTCATCAAATTTTGAATGAAATATTCTTGCTAGCAAATTAGGACGATCATGTGGTGACTGTCCAGGTAGAAACTCAGCTTTAATTTCAGGCCAATTTGGATTGCAGGTCATCGTAAGGAAAAGATCAGGTTTTCCATACTTTTGGACCAGAGCCATTGCATCTTGATATCGCTGATACATGTCTCGTGGGCTACCAACAAATGACGATGGCAATATTGTTCTACGACCAACATTACCTAAACAAATATTTCACAAAGGGAAAAAAGAAATTGTATGTATGAATATAAACAAACATGCATACATGTAATTGTAATATCGTACGTGACAATTTGTACCTCCATAATTTTCACCAGCATGTATTGCATCTAGAAGACCTTGATAAAACTCTGCTCGAATGTGATTCTGATGAGTACGTATCCATCTTAATTGGTTGGACTCAATCTTCATGTAATTATCTACAATATACTGCTGTAAGAGACGACCTCCTCGAAGAAAAAGAGATTGATCACCAGGGCGAATCTGAATTGATAGTATTTCAATACTTATAAATAATTAAAAGTAAAGATTTTATACGAAATAATTATAGATTGAATAACTTCAACGAAGTAATTTTTTAATATTATGTATACGTTGTTACTTGTAGCATATAAGAATAGAAATCACAACATGTTACTTTTCTGCCATCATTACTTCTGGTATTTACATCCCATCCATATGAACTGTAGGGTAACAACAGAGGATACTGTAATGGATCATAGTATCCGACAATATCAGAAATATTTAGAAGGTGACCACTGGTTGATTGGACAATGATATCTCTTGTTTTTAAATTTCCAACTTTTTCGCCACCTACTAAACCTGCAGCAACTTCAGGAGCAGTAGGAAGGTTGTATTGGGGCCTATTACGTGGTTGCTTTTTGATTTGAAGTCTGCATTCATGTATGTCTGGATGCTGAGCCAATTGGCGAAACGTGTGTACAAATGGATTATGAGTATTTAAAATATTCTTTATCTTGTCAAGCAAATCCAAGTGCAATTCTTCATTTTCAGACATTCGATTCTCATTCTTGTAGTTAGTGTCATAAACATACAGTTGCAAATATCTCGGTCTGTTGCTAGAATTTGGTAAGAGACTCCCAATCTTATGATATATGGCTCCTTGTGCACGAAACGTGTACACACCTCGAGTTCTTGTTGCTAAGTTTTCATCAACATGAACACCCATTGAAGTGAATGAGAAAACATGATTGTAGGCTCGAATATTTTGTCTGAAATGACGACCTTCCACTATTTGGTCAGAGAAAATATCAATCATGTCATTTGGAGCTGTTACTGGTGGCAAAATAATTGTTCCATTATTACAACACATGGTAGATGTTTCACGGTGGAACAATCTTGTGTTGCAATGTCTACATGTAGTTGGAGCAGGGAACTGCATTCTTTGAAACCTTTCACTTTCATGAAAATTTCTTGCACAATTATGATATCTCCTATGGATAAATGATCGATTATCTGGAATATCTTCATCACTCAAAGCATCCTGATTGTCGTCGACATGAGGGATATTTCCTATAACAATACATGTATGATGTATGGGTTTATTATTAACACAATAGTATTTATTTGAAAGTGTTTGAGTTTCATGTTGAATATTAAATGTAATTGTACTGCATATCATATTTGCATGATCATATTTTTTACATTTATTGTAAAGGTTGTTTATTTTGTAAAAGTACTTAAACTAATAAATTATTTGTACCTTCCATCTGAACTTCACGAAGATCTTGTCTGTTGCCACTTGTGCTTCCATGCTCATACGTTGAATGAGTAGGTGCATATCGGGGTAAGTCGATACGTGCGAGTGCAATCATTCTACTTTCTCGTCTAAAAACATTAGTCGCAACCAAATTGCCTTCTTCGTGAATGGTTGGCAAAACTATTGCTCGCAGCCTACGCCATCCTGTTCTATTTCTTCTTGGGATTGCATCGAAAAAGTTTAACATGCATCCTAGCAGTTAAAATTATAAATAATAAATTAAATGAATATTAATGTCAAAAGTGTAAAAGCTTACAAAAAAAAAAAATGTTTATAACATTTGAATACTTACTACTTGTTTGTGCATTCGTCATATTATGTACTTGATTTGGATGAGAAGTTTGTTCGATATTTTCAGATATTTGCCTTCTTTGTCGATAATTTGTTCGTCGCCTTGCAAGTTGTTGTTCACGTTGTTCAATACTCAAAGCAGCCCTCCTTTGTCTAGCATAATTACGCCAACTTTCCCTTTGAATTTCTCTTTATTGCATATTAGAGGTCGCACTTTCTTCGCAAATAAACAATCTTCGCCTGCGCTGAGCAAGACGACATTGCTCCAATCTTGCTGAGCGTTGTTCAGTGCTTAAGTTTTGAAGGCGTAACTGTTCGAATTCTCTTTGTGGTTGTTCAGTTTGAGAATTTGGTTTCGAAGCTGAGCGTTGCCTCCTCTGTTGTAGGTATAAACGACGTCGTTCACGATTTTGTTGTTGTACATGTCTCAAATTTGATGTGTCAGGGTAATCGTGATTCATTTTTCCTAAGATTGTAAGCAAACTAACACTTACGTAGATGAAATCCGGCTATCTTTAAAATGTGCCTACATTATATAAAATTATGTAAGAGGCAGTTATAGTATATTCACAATGCTACTCGTATACTCACAATATAATAAGCTTTATATTTTTATGTAAGTGTTTTCATATGTTTGTTTTTATATTTTTATAATGCATATTATTTTAAATACTGATCTCATTTTTTGGAGAATTAAATAAAATTGCAAGTGAAAGAGATTACATAGTAATGATGAGCCAAAGCTTGTGCAACTTGAGATATGATTTAAAAACAAACTGAATATAAATTTTTCAAACATTCGATTAAATATAAAAATAAATAAAAAATAGAATTAAAAATACTTATAGTAAAAAAATAAGTAGAAGATGAGTATTAATAAAACACGACTGTAGAAGTTATTTGTTCTGACAATCACAAATTCATTACGTAATAAATATAAAAAAATCATATGAAATTTTGGGACCACTGAATTCTTTCTTATCAAAAAAATACACTTCAAAACAAACATATGAATAAACATAGGGTTTTTTAGAAAAGTTACAATAAAAAAGATTAGACACCTACAACTTCCTTTGAATTTTGACCACCCATGGTTTTTTCCAAATTTCATAAGATTTGGCCAAACTTTCATGAATTTTAACTAAAAAATTATACAACAAAACTTCATATAAATAAAAATAAAAATAAAGATTGAATAAAAAAATTACATATTTGATTTTTTCAAGCATAGAAAAAGAAGTTATATATTTGAAGCCATTACAAACTGAAGCAAAAGAACACCTACCATCAAAGCAATTAGGTGTCGATAGGGAATAATCCGAAAAGTTTATTCTAAACAATACAAAGTTATAAAGCAACCTTTTGAATTAATAAACGAAGGAAAATAATAGTCAGTTTTTCTCTCCAACAAATCGATTAACATACTTCTTTCTCTTTTACTTTTTAATGAAGAAAATAAAAAGTGTAAGTAATAATGGTACACACAAAATAACAAAACAGGAACCCATATTCTTGGAACACTTGCAGTAAAAAATAAATAATAAACCCAAAAAAAAAAGACATATGTGTTTTTAATTTTTTTGAAATAAAACAATTTTTATGAACATTTTAATTGTTTTTAAGAAAAACACACACACAAAATTAAGCAATTAAACAACCTTATTTTTTGAAAACATAAATTGTAAACACGCAAACACAAATGTTGATATCAAAATTCAGACCTCTCCCTGAAACCATATTTGACCCCTTTTGGTAACATGAGACCGAAGAATATGCTCCATATTGTCATAAATCTAAATTGATAACGACTTGCATAAAATCTCTGGTATCATGTTACCAAAATTCTTTCATCTTCACCTCTCTCTCTCTATTTACTATAAAATCTTCCCTTTTATTTGTTCAATGATTAATTTCTTTTTTGTTGGGAGAAATACTATTCAAGAACATTGCAATCTTATGATTCTCTTTATTCGAAATATATATCTACTGCTTATCCTACAATGTAAGTGCAGTATTGTTAATTATATTTTTATTTTCTTCAATAAAAAGTTTCATTATGTAATTAGGTTCTGTGGAGAAAAAAATATATTGATTCAGAATACTATTATGTATTTTTTTTCTTCATTAAAAACTTTCATTGTGTGTGTTTTTGGAGAAAAAAAACAAAACAAATCAGTGCTCATAATTTTGTGTGTGTCTGTTTTTGAAAAAAAATCGGTATTTTCTGTATTTTCATCAAATTAATTTGTAGGTTCTTAATTTTTAGGTTTTTAATTAAACAGTTTGACACCTATGTGTAATTTTTTAGAGACTTAAATAGTTTTGGATTTTTTCCTCTTTCACTTTTTAAGCTATTGTTTACTTTTGTGAGAACACTATTTTGTATTTTTTTTATTCATTAAAAAGTTTCATTGTGTGTGTTTTGAAAAAATAAAAAAATAAAAAAATTCAGTGTTCTTAATTTTGTGTGTATGTATTTTTGGGGCAAAAAAAAAAAAAGCAGTGTTTTTTGTATTTTCATTAAATTAATTTTTAGGTTCTTAATTCATATTTATGCAAGCTTCTTTGAATAATTTGGCACCATGACGTAGTGTAAAAGAGACGCAGTAATCAAAGAAACACAAACATAAAGTCAACCCAGACAACACAAATTCACATACATTATTTAGGATATATAGTTGATAGTTACTCATAGATCAACAAATCATAGATGTACGGGGAAGAAATAATTCTCCTCGTATAATCCTGTTGACTAAGTCCACGCTCCTCCGTACGACGTCGCTTTGTCACCTGAAAACACAAACGTGAGCTAGCCGGCGGGTGTGTGCCGGAAACCTCTCCGATGCCTAAGTCAGAAAACTTGACAAATAGACAAAGCTCAATGTGTTCAGGAAGAAAAATTGTATGTTGTGTTATGTTACCTCCTCCAAGGTGATGCTTGTGAGCTTTTATAGGTTTCGAGTGGTACAATCCTAGTAGGACTTTTATTTCTCTATGCAGAGTCCTCCTAGGATTCATACTCCTAAAGGATAATGCTTATCCTTTTACACCCCCCCCACTGCTTAAACCAAGTGGGATGGTTTTCACCATGGCCGAACTACCATTCGACCGAGATAAACCTAGCTATGCTAAGCCACAAAGTAAGCCGAACTATCCTTAGTTCGGCCTTTCCGCTTATATTTCCTTATCTCGGCTCTCACCTATTCAACTCATGGTGTGCTTGGACCGAACCAACGACTCTTCGACCGGTATAACTCCAAAACCGGTATACCTCTAAAGCCGGTATAAATTCAAGAACGATGTTCCTTCAAGACCGGTCTAACTTTAAGTTGCTCCCAGACCGAAGTAGCTTAACAATTCACGAGCCGAAGTAACTTCATCTCTTTTGGCCGGAGTAACTTTTATCTTCCTTGGGCCTGAGTAACTTTTCGACCCTTTTTACTCAGTCCGTCATACTTTGGGCCATAAAGTCCGTCTCATAGCTCGGCCCAATTTTCACTCAAAATTACCCTCTCAATTGCCCCTTAATTCCATCTGCACAGCATGATTGGGATTACCAAGTGTCCAGCCGAGCTAAACGTTTTCAAGCCTTTCCAGCCGAACTAAAACATCGTTTTAGCCTCTCCAGCCGAGCTTATTTCACTCCGGCTCTACTTGTTCGGTCAAAACGTCTCTTCAATCACTGACTGTAATGCTTTACTTTCCAATGACACGTGGCAGGTTCTGATAGGCTGTGAGCTGTTATCACGCCGCCCTCGTACTACGAATTTTTTGAACAGTCCCGCCCCTTTTTGCCGCTTTTTCTCTCTCATTTTTCACAAAACAACCTTTCTATTCTTGAATCATTCACTCATACTTTTCACATTCTTCCCTCTCCGTGCCTCTGCCTTTCCAACCTGTGTTTGTGTTCTTCATTTGCAGCTACTGTCTCCATCTCTAGTCCCCTTCTCTCCAATCTGGTAAGTAAATCTATTTTCCTTCCTTGTTTTTGCTTTCGCACATGTTCTAGGAATTTTGTTTACTGTATTTTCGAAAAACATGTTCTTCCTTTTCTTCTTTGCTTCTTGTATTCTTATGAAAAAATTAGTAAAAACTCATGCGTGTACGAACTATCTTGTAGAAAACTGGTCTTGAATCCAAAATTAAGTAGCAACCGAACTAGGACACTGTTTGTCCTTTATAGGTAGATCACTTTAGATTATAACCGAACTAGAACTTGTAGAAATAGCAGCAGTTTCAGTAGGTTATCAACTCTTAAGTCACTCTAGCTGAGATAAATCCACCGAACGAAGTTTGAACTCCTTAATTTAGGAACCTCGGTCTCAACCGAGCTAAGCCTTTGGGGCTAAGCCAGCTTTCCTAGTTTCTAAACCAAACTCAGAAAGCTTCCCCTAGAGGCTCAACCAAAATAACAAAACTCCTAGTTCAACCGACTTAGGCCTTTGGGGCTGAACCAGCTTTCTTAGTTTTTTAGACCGAACTCAGAAAGCCGCCCCTAGACGATGAACCGGTCTAAGAATTGTTTCCAAAGCCAGTATGCCGAGATGTCTTCCAAGATTTGATCAATAAGCACTTTGCTCAAATTGAGCTCCCAAACATTTTTGCTGAACCGAGATAGAACATTTCTTTAAAACCGAAGTAGGGCTCTTTTACCATGCTTTTAATTTGTAGCACGGTCCAGTGATCTGTGCTTAACCCCTTTGTTTTCTACTTTGCAGACTTAGGTTGCCCAGTCACTCTGTGCGCTCAACCGAACTACTGAGCATAATTTTTGCACCGATATAACTTATTCTTAAATTATACGATAGATGGGGAAGTATAGATACCTAGTAGATACTTCGGGCGGCCTAGCCGAATTCAGGAAAGACTATCAAATCCCTAACGACGTCCAACTGGTTTTGGCCGAAAAAGACGTCATTCCCTGGGATAATGAGGGCTTCGTCCCCTTCACCCTTTTATCCATCATAGAAACCGAACTACGGTTTCCGGTTCAACCGTTGATTTGTGAATTTCTTAGGCAGACCAGACTATGCCCTACCCAACTGTCCACCAACTCCTACCGCATCATCATGGGAATAGCCGAACTAAACCGAAAAGCCGGACTAAATCTTGGCCTGGCCGAAATTTTTCATCAATACTCCATCGGCTCAAAAGAGGATGGGTGGGTCTATTACCTTAGGATTCGCCGCCGCCGAGAGAAGATAGTTAAATATACACCGGACAAAGACCTTAATGACGACGATTTTTTCTGGGTCTCTGGGAACTTTGAGGATTTTCAAGCCCAAATTCCTGGCCGACCTATAAATTGGAAAAAAGGAGAGCCTGGTAATTTAACTTCGGTCTTCTTTCTTGCATTTTTTACTTCGGCGTTTTAATGTTTCAGCCGGACTAACAGTTGTCTTTTCTCGCAGATTTTGCCCACCTTTACTCTCTATACAGTTATCCAAACCTTGCAACTTTG